ATTAAAAATAAAATATATTACGTATATGATTTTTTAAATTAAAAAAAATAAACAAAAATATAAAAATGATTACTGATGAAATTTATTTTAATTAAAAATAAAAATATATTATTTTTAATTAAAAGAAATGCAAATTCCATCAGAATAAAATCTAAAACCAATTCCTTCTATTAAATGAGTTACAAACCCTAAACATAAATTAAAAACACCAAACTCTCAAAGAGAAAGCTCTCAACTGACAAACAAAACTGGAGCTGACATGGCTACTCAGAATGGTTAGGGTGTTAATTGTAGTATGACTATCACAAGTAAACAAAATCCAAAGCATAAAAGGTTATTTTTTTTTTATCTCTATTGCAATTTGGCTTCTGCCACAATAAAGAATGTACAGAGGTGATAACATATGACTGTGTGATTATAATGTTATTATCTTCTAAACTCATTTCACCAGTTTAATTTCTAACCTCATATTGTGTTCATCATACAACTGAGCTAGTAATTTACCAACATATATTCATTTCTAATTGTTATATCAACGATTTGATCACCCACGATAAAGGAAATAGCAGCCCATAGGAACACTAAGAAACGCTCGGGAAGGATGGTCAATCTCTGAGAGTATAAAAAATGGATGAAGCTGCCGAATTCTGTTGTAAAGTGTTTCCGAGGAGGCCCAGCAACTCGCCGTCTTTAGTCTGTGATGCAGCATCTGCAGCTTCTTTTGCCATGCCTATTCAAGCATAAGCATGTTTCATGCAAATACGTTTTTTTCATTAATATGGAGACGATTTTAGCAACAACTCTACAAAATGCAGCAATTCGAGATACGAAAGGTGGTTGGGTTAGAGTAAAACCAGCAATTAATGTAACCGAAATCCCGATTTGATTGGTTTAAACATAAGCTGACAACAGTTACCTTAAGGAGTGCCTTCGAGATAACAGAAACACACATTATGTAACGTTACCTGACACATGTATGTGGACTCAAAGTCATCAATAGCGGCAACTCCACAATGTATCTGTGAGGCTATCGCTTTGGCACGACGTTGACTGCTAGAAAAAACATCACATCCAAGCCCATATTTTGAGTCATTTGCAAGCATGATAGCCTCCTCATCAGAGCTGAACTTCATTATTGGCATGATCGGTCCAAAAGCATGCTTATGGAATTACATCATCAATAACTCAAATGCACTTCCTCTATTAAACCCATCAAAGCCATTATTGGTGAAATCAAACTAATAAACTAAAAAACAGTACATTCTATATGAGAAGAATTATGACAATTAGAAACTCATCATGTGACAGTATATTTGGTAAAGACGCATTGGAGACACATAGACCCATGGTCATGTTTGTTTTGTTTCTGGTTTCGAGTCAAAACACATTCTAAAAATCTATCAACTATCACATACCTGAATCTGGAAGTATCTTAAATCATGAGATATCTGCAAAAGGAAAATGAGCAATCTGAGAATTTTGTACATACTTGCTAACCTTAGGTTTTAATGATTGAATTGTGCCTGCTGCAAGTAAACTATTTGTATCCACTTAAAACAGCAGATTAGCCTTGTTCACACACATCATATTATCCCTGTCAGCAGATTGTTAGTGAGTTAACAATAGGTGTGTGTGCACAGTGTGCGTGTGTGTATATATATATATATATATATATAGATACATATGTATGAGGATTTACATTCAAGGGACAGTGAAACTGCTGAATTGAAACTGCAGCAACTCCATTTCATTTTATACACACACATAATAATGAAACTGTTGAACAGAAACAGACCCATGATGGTCTAAACAGCTGATAATGTAGTGCAGTATGTTCTGTTAATGTAGTGCAGACTGTTCTATCAGGAACTGTTTGGGACTGCTGTCTGGTTATGGAGTTACAAACCAGAAAGCCAAGTCCATCTAAGTCAAATAGCTAAGTCCAAAGGAACTGTTTGGGACTGCTGAATTGAAAATGCAGCAACTTCCATTCTTGCATGTTCTCTTAATGTGTTTAGAAGTGTCTAAATTGGGCGGAGGTAATGAGTATTATATGCATAAAGATAGTTATTCAGTTTTCCAAAATGATCATTCATTTTTACTCTTATAATGTTCTTTCATTTCTATTTAGAGTCATTCGTTTCCCCAACTAATATTATGTCAAGGTATTATTACTTAGCTCTACTGCTTAAATTAGCATGAACAAATATTTGGGCAAACATAAGACATAAGGGCATCATCTGCTCAAGCCCAATAATGTATGGGTAAGTTCAATTTGGGCTTAAAAAATTACCATTTGCTACTTTCCTACTTTGTTAATGTTACATTGTTGCCCTATATAGAGCCCAAGGGCATCATTCTTTCTTGGCCTCGCTTCAGCTTTCACAAATGGAACGTATTACATATTAGACACACACTCTCTCTCTCTCTCTCTCTCTCTATATATATATATATATAGTACTCGTGCAATGCAGCGAGATACATCTTGATTTTAATATTTTATTTTATTTTTTATCTCAGTCGATGTTATAATATGGTCTTATGTGATTTTGAAAAAGTGATGTTTTTATTTTTTAATAAAATATAAATTTGAAGATATCTTAAAATTTTAACAAAAATATATCGATATTAGTATCAAATTAACTATTTAAAATTCCTATTTTTTGTGTAATTTTTAATTCATTTTTTTATTAAATTTAATTAGGTTCAACACATAAGTAATTTATATTTGGTTTAATAATATCATTTTCTTATAAAGATAATAAATAATTATTTTGCTAGAACTCGATAATTCTCCTAATTATATATTTTAGATTTTTTATATTTTAAATTGAGATGTTTATCCTCTATTTGATCATGTTTATCCACAGTTAGTTACACGAATTCAAACACGAAGCTTTAATAAGTTGTACTTGTGCATAATTTACTTGTAATCTTAAAATTTTAAGTAATATGTATCAATATACAATACTTCATGCATAAAAAATGGTTTTTAAGAGTTTTTGTCAAATATTTTATAATATAGTATATATATATATATATATATATATATATATATATTAGACTCTTGCTCGAACTCGTCTCATCTCTACCCTTTGGCTCTCGTCTCTCGAACTTGTCTGTGAGACACCGAGTGAGATTGTGAGTCTGTGACTCTTGTCTCTAGATCTCGAAGTCTCAATTTTTTGTGGTAAATTTCTAATTCTGATGTTTTATATTTATGTGTGTGATATTGTTATGGACTGATGTACTGATTTTTCTAGACTCTAGTTTAGTAGTTTGTTTTATTAGATTAGGTTTATTTCATTATATGTTTGAAGTTTAGAATTTATTTTAGATTATGTTTATTTGTTTAGTTTAGGTTTATTTGTATTTTGAATTTTGATTATAGTTTAAACTTAGATTAGATTGTTCTTTCGTTGATAATTGTCATTGTTATGATTGCAGAAACAAAGTTATTTCAACTTTGAAGTTTCAACCAGTTTGACAATTTCACGAATCACGACTAAATCACGTGTTATCTTTTTTTTTATTAAGCTAGATATCCAACCTGTTATGCGAGCTGACTAATCCCAGAGCGACCACCTGCTTTGCCATTTTCCCGGAGTCACCGCATTTGAACCTCTGTGTCTACAAGAGGATGTTTATTCCTCCTTGTATTTGAACCTGAGACCTCCTGGTACTTTTGACCTCCGCTATGTGTTATCTTTCTATTCTCTATATGTACCACTTGTTTAAGATACATTTCCTCGATCACAACCATCGGTTGCTCAAAATAGAAAATGAAAGAAAAGATACGAAGAAATTGCTCAATCTTTACAACGATCTTTTAATAAGTATATTGTTAGACAACCAAATGTTTCTGAAAATGCTTGTGATAAAAATGAAAATGCTTGTGATGCAAATGCAAATATTTGTGAGTTTGAATCGATTTTTGACTTCTTGTCTGACATATGAAAGTTTGTTACTTTACATGATGATGAGTTGAAAAAATGTTGTTTGAATCTTGAACTTGCTTTAACAAATGGTGATAATTCTGATATTAATGAGCAATATTTGTTTATGCAGTTACAAGTTTTGCAGTGAATGTTACCAAAAGAGGCATTTAAGAGTGGAAATCCTTGGACATCCATAAAAATCATGGAGTTCACAACGAAGATGAACATGTTTCCATGTCTTGATTGCTTACATAATTTTGTTGATCGTACCGGTCACCATAGCATCTATGGAAAAAAAAATCGAAATTAAAATTGTTGAAGTCATATATGCAGTCTACCATGAGTCATGAAAGATTGAACGAGTTAGCAATTTTGAGTATTAAGAGTAAGTTTTTAGCTAATATTAACATTGACAAAGTGATCAATATTTTTGCTTCAAAAAATGCAAGACATTGTTTTAGTTGATGTATTTTATATTTTGTTCACGGGACTTCGGTTTATGTCAACCTTGTTGTATCATTTTTGTTGTATTTAGTAAAAATCGGCATGAGGAAGAGCCACCTAGATTGACTAAGTTCCAAATCCTTTTAATCGTTTATAAAGTTGATCAATGAACAAAATTGGTCTTATGGGTCTCATGAAAAACCTTTGATCTCATGTGAACCCAACCCTATATATATATATATATATATATAGGTGCCTAATCAAATGAGAACTAATTAGTTTGTGGTAACAGTGAGAACCAATATTAACCACAAATCAATAGATAAATTAGGAAATTTATAATTTTAGCAATTTTGAATTAAAATTTTAATGCAAG